CTCGCCGAGGGTGCGGCCCGGTGTTGCTTTCCAGTTTGTCTTGGCTGGAAGCGGGGCGCGGGGTGATGGATTTTGATCTGAGGTATTTGTACCCACTGTGCGGCCTGGTTGGGTGAAAGGGTCATTATCCTTGTTGGAGCCTCGGGAGCAGATGTTGCCCATTGTTGTTTTAGATTGGAGAGAGGGGAGGGGAAAGGATAGATGCGATCGCAGGGTCTGGGGATGGAAATGTTGGCTTTGCGGTCGGCGCGAGCTTGCAGGAGTGATTTGGTTTTAGTCTGCACTATGAGAAGATATGAATGACGAGATCAGTAAAGTGCAATGATATTGATTTCGCAATGACTATGCTGTGAAGTGGGTTGGATGAAGGGAGCATTGCGATAAGATAGTCGATCCGGGGCAAAGGCGGTGAGGGTTGGTTAACGGTGATGTCAACAGTTCACTCTGGAGATTGCCTAGGTACTTTTAGTTATTCTGGGTATATTGCTCAGTGATTTCCACTGAAGCATTCTCATCACTGAATGCATACGATTTGCACCTCAACTTAGGGTTTCAGGACAGCATGTGGAGGGGCGGGCAAAATGGGCAGAATGAGTCAGCAGGGCTGAGTGGGCCGGCCCTGAAGCCATGCGAAATGGCTTCCGCGGGGAAGAATTCTCATTGGAATGCTGGGGAGTACTACAGCTACAGGTACTTTGCTGATCTCCAAGTTTTGACTCTGCAGTGCGACTACGCCATGTGCTGAGATCCCCGCTTGCCAACAGGGCCAACACGATTCGCCCGAAAATCATGACGCCTAACCCCCAAGGTCCCCATCCTCTCCATCGTCCCGAAGGTCCTCACTGCACCGGGGGGCAGTATCAAGTTCCCCCTGATCTCGCACATCTTTTCGCCTCTACGTATCCTCCAAGGTCCTCTTATTCCTGCACGTCCAGGAAATCTCCGATTGCGTCGGTTAATCATAGCCGGCAGCGCATGCAGACCCGAAGCCCAAGCGCATGACACAACAGTGAGACCGCATTTTGTGTGATTGGATCATCTGGCACTATTGAGAGCTGCTGTTGGGAGATTATACCTGTGGGATTTCTGGGTGGCGTTTTGACTCTGCCGGTTGCGTGATTTTGCAGGCTGGATATTGTTCCTGGACATACCTAGTAGCCCACTTGCGGTCGTGACCCCCTCGGTTCTTCAACTGCTTTCCTTAATATCGTTCGCTGCATTTTGATATTGCGGCACACTGTTCCTGGCAACCCCTCTCAAACTTGGCCCCGGCACCTTCCCTCTACCTGAAGTGAACCGTGCACCATGGCGTCTCAAACCCAAGGCAATTTTTGCCTTGAATGCAACTGGGAGGCTTTCCACCTGGATGGCAAGGAAACGGGGGATCCCTCGGTCAACCATTCTCAACATCATTGGAATTGTTCAAGTCATGAACATCAGGCAGCGCTCCCCCATTGCGAAGTGGACGAGGCCTGTTGTGATGTAGATGACTGCGCGCTAGACTGTGGGTCAATGTGTGATGGCTTCGTGGCCTGTGGTCCTTCTACTGTCTGCTCTGTTGCCAACTGCGAGGATGACAACTGTGATGACAACGATTGCGAAGACCACTGCGAAGATAATCATTGTGACGATAACCACTGTGAGGATCTCTGCGAAGCCAATCACTGCGAAGAAACCAACTGTGATACCACACACTGTGACAGTATTGACCCTCTTTGCTTCGAGAGTCACTGCTGTGATGGTACCGAGGGGCAAGACTGTTCATTTGATACACTGTTTGGACTCAACACTCCGCTGTCGCTGGACACAGGGATGTTCCCATCGACAACAATGGGACACCATCTCGGCCATGGAACTAAAGCCCTAGAGCACCCTCTACCCGTAACCATCGATCCAAGCCAACACCATAATTTCCTACACTCCTACCAGACACACGCTACCAACTGCGACCAGAATGTACCCAACCACTTTGAGTGTCATGACTTCCAGAAGGACTTGCAGGGCATGTTTGTGGCGCCTCCTTTGCCGACGCAGACTGAGGTCAACCCGGCGGAGGTATTCCATATGCTTGGAATGTGTTCAGACTTCTCGATATGCCAGGATCAACACACTGGCACTCAAAACGACGTGTCACCCTTTGACAAACCTAAAACCGACCCGACGGACGCATTCAACTGCTTCCACCCCGAACACCTTCATGTTCACGGTCACTTCAAGAACCCTAATGACCTCAACCTGACCACCTCAAGAGGACCTCACCGAAACCAGCATCGCTGCCGAGCCCACCACCATGCCCACTCTCACCCATACTCTCCCTATTCACGACAGTCTCGCTCGAGTATCAGCTCTCACCTCCTATCTAGTCCAGGGGAGACTCCACCGCCCCTCGAGGGTGGTGTCTCATCTGTGCTGACCACCCCGGATTTCTCTGAAGACAATGATCTGCATATTTGCAAATGGTCAACAAAGATCCATGGAATCAAGGCCGCCTGTGGTGCTACTTTCGCCGATGCCGGTGCTCTTCAAGAGCACCTTGTCACCAGCCACATGAATACTGTGAACGGCGCTAAGGGCAATGGATACTACTGCTGCTGGGAGGGATGTCATCGTCCAGATGAGCCCTTCTCGCAAAAGTCCAAGCTCCAGGGTCACTTCCTTACGCATAGTAACTACAAGAACTTCTCCTGTTCAGTATGTGGAAAAGCATTTGCTCGACAGGCGACATTGGACCGACACGAGCGCAGCCACCGTGGTGATAAGCCGTATGCTTGCAAGCATTGTGGTAAATCATTCACAGATAGCAGCGAGTTGAAAACACACTCCCGCACCCACACTGGCGAAAAACCATTCAAGTGCACCTGGCCAGGATGTAACTTTACTACTGGCGACTCTTCGAACATGTCTAGTCACAGGCTGACCCACGGAGAACGAAGACACAAATGTCAATTCCCCGGATGCACGAAGAGCTTTACTCGGCCTGGTATGTCCCACCATCCCTCCCATACTTTTCTTTTCCCAATGCTGACAGTGGCCCCCTCCAGACCAACTTAAGCGTCACCAAAGGACAACACACAAAATGGAGTCATGCTCTACCTTACCTTCACCGAGTTCCGATCACTTCACAATGCCATCTTTCACCCTCGTCTAATGAACCATACCCATCAAAGACCTTGTACACGACTGTCATGCTTTACGACCCAACGGATATGGCGCTACTTGCGGCCGGGCGTACTATGGCTGGAAGACACTTACGTGTCTGCATGACTTTTTGACGTTTTGACGTTTTGAGGACCACAAAAATAGTTGATACCACCTGTGCTGAATTGAATGCTGCTGGGATTCTTCGCGCTTAATTTAGAGCTTCTACCGGTTGCCTGGTTTTGCTCCGGTCAGCTGTCTATGATATTTCTTTCTGTTTTGACACATTACAATCGCTCATATTGGGTTCTTGAACCCGTACTCGGGGATTTTTGTTCGACTTAATAGTTCAATGCTCGCATCCTGCTATTATATCTATCAATTGCATATAACAGATCTCCAGAAACATCTGGAATCATAAACTATAGACTCTGTAAATCCTATGTATAACACACCGTTATAAACAAACAAATCTACTCAGCATGAGCCCTCTCCTCCAACAACTCAACAGCATTCTTCAACTCCCGAATCCGCTGCCCAACCCGTCTCCGTACCTCATCCTTAACACCACGCGGCACATCGGCAGGGTTATAATTAGTCTCAATAATAGGCCCATCGCCATCATCCTCCCCAGCTCCAGCTCCAACCCCATTGTCCTTCTCATTCTCAACCTCCCCCGGACGCGCCGTGTACAAATGGTAAACAGCAGACAACTGGTTCAGCGCATCCCGCGCAGACTCCCGGTCCGAAGCTGCGTAGATAGTTCCCGTGTCGGTGCTCTCTGTTGCAATTTCGAATTCATCTTTGGCTATTTCGTAAAGTTCTTGCAGTTCTTCGATTAGGAGGTCTGCTTCGGCTTTGCCGGTTGAGCCTTTTAGGACTGCGTAGGTTCGGATGGTTGTTTGTGGAGTAATAGGTGGGATAGAGGTTGTTTTGGTGGTTGTGCGGACTTTTGTGGTGGTGCTTGTTAGGTTGTAGAGGGTGCGAGGTGCCAGCTGCAATCGTTGAGTCGAGGGCCGGATGGCGTGGTGTGGTCGTAGGCTTTGGTTGCCTAGACGGAGGAGTGGGGTGCTCCGTGTTGGGCGGATGTGTGCTAGACCGGACATTTTTGAGTTAAGATAGACGATGGGTTTTTTAGTATGCAATTGGAGGTGGAAGTCTAGGAGGGAGATTGGTGAGCTCGGAGGTCGTATGAGCTCAGGAATGACGTCGTTTGCTTATCTGGTCACGTGCTGATAACTATGTTGATTCATTGAAGTATACAGTTAAAGGGTGCTAGAATGGACAGTAGTATCCATAAATACATTCCTTATTAGTTTGTCATGGACACAGTTGGCTGTGTTGACTGGCTTTGAATATCGTGAGTCAGCAGTATTGTCGCAGTGCACGGAATCCAACATAATTGCTGTCGTCATCAAGGGGAATCAGATCAGCAGGTTTGTCTAAGATTTGATATGCGAGGGAGAAGCGAAAGGCTAATCCATTCCTTTAAACTCAATCATTCCGGCCGTGTTTAAACAAGTATAGCCACCCCTGGCACGTTTCACCATATATTGCCCAGATGTATACAGGGGTCTCGATTGGCGGAAACAGGACTATGTATCCATGGCGGCTAAATGCAGGAACAGAAAATGCGGGGAGAGCATGATAGCCCTTCCATTTTTGGGAATTTCCCCTTGAACTTGAAGAAATTCCGGAAGAAATTCCCCTATCACTGCGATCGGACCGCCGGGCCGGACTTACAATCCATGTAAACAGCAGTAGATTCAGCCGAATGCATTCTTCACGTCTCTAGTATGGTTGATATAAATGTCAGAGATTCCTACAGAAATGGCCAAGTAAACATACCCAAATATTCTATAATGACACGAAACTATCTCACCACGATATTTGCTCTTCTGCCGCTGGTCGCTTCGCAGCAAATTGGACTCCCAGACCTCCACCCAAAACTAGAAACATGGAAATGCACAACTACACACGGCTGCACCAAACACCAAACATCAATTGTTCTAGATGCACTCTCCCACCCACTCCACGAGATAGGAAACCAAAGTGCCTCATGTGGAGATTGGTCAAACGGCCTAAACACCGATCTCTGCGCAACACAAGAGACATGCGCCGAGAACTGCATCCTCGACGGAGTCAACTACGCAGCGCATGGTGTAGCAACCAAAGGCGATACTCTAACTCTCCATCAATACATGAAAGTCGACGGGACATTTTCATCCGTCTCTCCACGAGTATACCTTCTCAATGAAGACGGAAAGAACTACGACATGCTCCAACTCCTCAACCAAGAAATCAGCTTTGACGTGGACGTCTCAACTCTGGTCTGTGGCATGAACGGGGCGCTTTATCTCGCCGAGATGTTAGAGTCCGGTGGAAGAAACAAGCTCAACCCCGCTGGAGCGCAGTACGGGACTGGATACTGTGATGCACAGTGCCCAGTTCTTCCGTGGGTGAATGGCTTGGCGAATGTTGAGTCTTCGGGCGCTTGCTGTAATGAGATGGATCTTTGGGAAGCGAATGCTGTTGCCACTGGGTATACACCACACGCGTGCAATATCACGCAGGTGTATGAATGCTCTGGTGATCTCTGTGGTAGCGGTGGTGTTTGTGATAAGTCGGGCTGTGGGTATAATCCCTATGCTCTGGGTGATCATGATTACTATGGGTACCGGGGGATTGTTGATACGAACAAGCCGTTCACTGTTGTGACGCAGTTTGTGACTGATGACAATACCGCAAAAGGGGCGTTGAAGGAGATTCGTCGATTGTACGTGCAGAAGGGGATGGTGATTCAGAATGCCGTGGCAGAAGTGTCCGGAAGCAATGTTGATTCTATCACTGAGGAGTACTGTTCGAACTCTGCCAGCTACTTTGAGCAAATGGGAGGGTTGAAGCAAATGGGCAAGGCTCTCGGTCGAGGAATGGTCCTGATTTTCAGTATTTGGAATGACTCTGGTGCTTTCATGAACTGGCTTGATAGCGGTAATGCTGGGCCTTGCAATAGCACTGAAGGGAATCCGGAGCTGATTCTTGCGCAGCATCCGGAGACATCTGTTACTTTTTCCAATATCAGATGGGGAGATATTGGTTCTACGTTCAAGTGAAGGTAGAATTTTCAAAAATCAAATGCTATTCTGCTTGTCAACTTCTAACTAATATTCACCACTCTTCACTTCATCATCCGTAAGATCAAAGCCAAAAGTCATTAATGAGCGTATACAGTTCGTGTCCTCATGCAAATCATGCGTTACCAGCAAGTAAACAAATCCTCTACTTCAATATCAATTTCTTCTCAAGAATTATTCGAGCTCATATCCTTGAGGTATGTTCATGCCAGAAGAGAATTTACTCCTGCTGGCCAGTGATAGCCTTGATATCCTTGTCCTGGTTCTGGTCCTGAGGGTTGGCAGGGTAGTTCTGGTAGGATCCATAGTTCTTGTAGTTGCCATAGCTCTGGTAGCGGCCATTCTGAGCGCTAGGAGTAGTCTGGGCGCCATTCACGGAGTTCCAGTTGTTGGCGGCGCTGGGAACATCACGGGGGAAAATGGGAGTGGGAGTGGTCAGGTCGTGAGCGACGCGCGAGGCACGGTCCCAGTTCTCGCGGTACCAAGAATCATCATCACGGTTGTAGTCATCGTTGCGGTTGTAGTCATCATTGTTGTTGTAGTCGCCATTGCGGTTGTAGTCATCGTTGTTGTTGTAATCACCGTTGCTGTTCTCACCATCCTGGCGCCAGCTGCGACGGTGGGGAGTGTGAGCAGTCAAGTCACCGATGGGCCCAGCCTTATTCTCAAGTCCAGGCTGGTTCAGGCGGCCAGCCTCAGCGCCAGTGGGCGTTATCTGTCCGGGGATCAGGTCGCGCTTCTGGTTTGCGTGCCACTGGCCATTGGCGTCGGTCCAACCTCCCTGGTTGTTTTGGTTGTTGGCGTGCCACTGACCGTTGGCATCAGTCCAGCCGTTCTGGTCCTGGTTGTTGTTCGCGTGCCACTGTCCGTTGGCATCAGTCCAACCATTCTGGTCGTTTTGGTTGTTGGCATGCCATTGGCCGTTGGAATCGGTCCAGCCATTCTGGTCCTGGTTGTTGTTGGCGTGCCACTGGCCATTGGCATCAGTCCAACCACCCTGGTTGTTCTGGTTGTCATTGGGCCAGTTGCGGGCTACAACGGAGCGAGGTTGCCAGCGGCCATCCTGGTTGTACTGGTCGTTCTGGTTGTATTGGCCATTCTGGTTGTATTGGCCATTCTGGTTGTTGTTGCGCCACTGGCCATTGCGGTCAACGTAGCCGTTCTGGTTGACTTGGTTGTAGCTGTTGTCGCCGTTGTTGGGGATAAACTGGCCGCTCTGGTCGTAGTGGCCCTTGCGGTACTGTCCACTGGGATCCCACTGACCGGCTTGGTCGTTGGGGTCCACTGGGAGGGCGAGGGCTGCCAGAGGAGAGACAGCCAGAAGAAGAAGGCCGTTGATCATGGAGTAACGCATATTGTGGGAGTGAATTCCAGTGAATTCTGACAAATTTAGAGAAGGGCGTCTTTCTTTTCGAGAGATCTCTTGTTTTCTTGAGTCTCTTGAGAGTTGCTTGTTTGAATGATGACTGAAGACCGGTTGGTGGCCCTGTATTTATATCTGCGCAGGAGCAGCTTCAAGCTTCGGGATTACGTAGCTCAAAGCTACCCTGAATAACTCACCGAGCTACTGGTGACAATGTCTGAGCTTGGATCTCGTATTCCATCATTGAGTTTTGGTGTTGTTGACTGATGCTGCAAGGGACAGCTGTGAACGTGTAGTCGAAAATCATGGCGCCTTGCGGGGGATAAGCAATCTAACGCGCGATGATCTCAGAGGGCTATGGATTTATAATTAGCTTAGGCAATACAATTATAATCAACGTTTGTTGTGGTTGGTAGACTTTGAAGAGTTGCATGATGAACCTCACATGAAGCTGCAGGCAAGTCAGTGCAGATCCTGCCTGAAGGGGATTAATTGCATTCCTCGAAGATCACACGAAATCAACAGTTGCATATAGTGTCTGACTAGATGGAAGACACGCTTACGACGGCTGCATGTACGTTGACGATTCTCATGTCTTCCTACTCGATCCCTTGATATTCTCGCGTTGTCTGTGCGCCACGCTTCTGGGGTTCTCATGGGCTCACAAAACGTGTGAGACATGCAGGGGAGAAATTGCGTCAATTGATGCCTCTATTTTCTGCCAAGTTGATGTCAGTAACAAGGCTGGAAGAAGCGGGGGGCTGTCGAAGTTGCGGTCTGGGGTTGGAGCTGGCGACACTGCCCTCTGCCGAAGTTCAGGGATATCGCATGCACCCTTTCACATTCGAGCTCTGATATAGGCATCTCATCTTCTTTGCCATTAACTGTTCATATTATCAAAATACGAGCTATGTTCCATGACAACTCTGACAAAAAAGACTCCACACGAGAGTCTGGCGAGCGTCTTCTAGCAGAAGAAGAGGGCACACTTTGGAGCGGCGGTGATGAATCATCATCAGATACTTGCAAGGTTGTGGCTACGACCGTACTCCAGGTTAGCGCTCTTGGATTACTCTTTCTTGTTGGATGCGTGTTTGGTTTCTACTGGCGTGGAGACTTGAATAGCCTCTGCAGTCGACATGTATCCCAATACTGTGAGTACATATCAGTCATGCTTCTGAATCCGAGTTTGCTAAAGACTTCTAGCGACTGTGATGAGAGAAGTTGGAATCGAATATAGCCTGCAAGAATTCAATGGATCCCTCTTGAAGGAGAATGTCTTCAGGCAGGATGCTGGCCCAGATGTTGATGCAGCATGGGAGTCTCTAGGTGTCAACTGTATGTTATACAAACATCTGTCGCTGCTAAACTTGAGCTAATTGGCCGTGATATTATAGATCGAGGTGTTAGAGTGCCAGCGGAAGACGCCGAAGAATCTGGACTTGCTGCCGACCAAGTCAAGATCAAAAAGAAGTATGGCGGAGGGTTCCCAGCAAACGTGGAGGGCTTGCACCACCTTCATTGCCTAGTATGAAGATAATCATCCCTCAAGGCTTTCTGTCCATAGTGAGCTAACTTTGAAAAGAACCTTCTTCGCCAATCCCTCTACTACAACTATGACTACTATCACGAAATGGGTGAGGGACCCTTTGTCAACAACGACTATATTGTCCGTCGACACGTCTGTAAGTATTCAAATGCATCCAACCTCATAGACAATAGACCCAGCTAACACATTTTCCTCTCAAAGCCCATTGCCTTGACATCCTTCGTCAGGAACTCATGTGCACAGTTGACAGTGGAGTTCTGGGGCAGATCTGGATTTACCCTGAGAACCCCGAGCCCTATGTTGATTTCAACACCAAACACCGATGCAAAAACTTCGATGCTGTCCGTCGCTGGGCAGAGGCAAACCAGCTACCTCAAGACCCGCCATCGGATTTCCTAGAGCCACCAGCCGAAGGAGATCGAATCTATGCCAGGATGCCATGAGAAGAAACGATCACGGACAATAAGATAGAGTACGTTGAAGCACGAATGCCAAAGGACAATTGATTTATAATCAGACAAGCGGCGTAGTAAATCCGTAATTCTTCCTAATGGTATCAGTCATGAAGACCATAAACCCCCAAATCCCCACTCATCCCAGCCAAAGCATAAACAGCACTCTCCTTCCCCCCAAAAACACTCAAAGCCTTAACTCCTCTAGCCTCAAGCCCAATCTTCTCCAAAACCCTACAACTCCGCTTATCATCCGCGGCACAAAATCCGAAAACAGCATCAACTCCAAGCTCCGCACGTGCATACTCCAATAACCCTTTCGCAGCCTCAGTCGCATACCCCTTGCCACTTTCCTGGGGTAGGATAGTATACCCAACATCTGGCGCAAGATAATGCGGACCCGGTGGTGCTCCCTTCATAAGGGAAACAACTCCAATATGGATTTGCGTGTCGTCTTCGCTTTGGCGCGAGACTAGAAACATGCCGTAGCCATTGCGGGCGTAATCTGCTAAAACACGGCGTTGGATGAACGAGGACGCTTTTTCCGGGGTGTCTATTGAGGTTTTGCCGCAGGAGGTGATGAAGTCCTCTGTGTTCCAGAGTTTGACTAAGAAATTGCAGTGGGTTGTGTCTGTGCAGTTGAAGGGGCTTATTTGGAGGCGGGCGGTTTTTATGGTGAAGTTTGGTGGGAAGGGTGCTGGTTCTGGGGTTGCCGGCATTTTGAGTTGGGGATGACTTGAATCATGTAAAGTGACTTGAATCATGTCAGGGGTAGTCAACCATTTTTAAAGTTACTGATGTGCTTATAATAGGCTCTGCGTTGTTGTATTGTTGTGATAGTACAGGCCCTCCCTATCTACGAGTGACTCACGACGTGGGGGTCGACACTGAAAGACTCCACTAGATTGCGGATTTCCGTCGGAGTAAGCTTAAATAGAGTTATGTGGTAGTCTAGTAGGCCTTGAATTACTGAATTGATATTTAATTTCGTTGAACATGTTCGTGTCGTGAAAATATATGTAGTGGCATAAAAGAAGGGCAATGTTAAAAGGACCCCCTCTTGTTGATATTCGCACCCCCTCTCCACCTGTCTAAGCCTAATTAGGGAAGGCTTAGTATATGTATTTCACATTGTCTTTTTTGAATATAGTGATATAGCAAATGTTTTAACACTATTGGACAGACCGTTTTTTAGACCTTTTTTTAGACCGCTTGTTAGACCCCCTATCGTAAACCGAAGAGTAAGTCTACAGTGATGTTGCAAAAGTATTTGACCTAAGGAAATACACTATGAAATACACTATGAAATACACATACTAAGCCTTCCCTAATTAGGCTTAGACAGGTGGAGAGGGGGTCCGAATATCAACAAGAAGGGGGTCCTTTTAACATTGCCCTAAAAGAAACCACCGTATGCTGGCTCACGACAGAAAAATCCAAATCGTTTCCCGAATATTGAGGCGGTGATGCATATGAAAAAGCGAACAAAACGAACCAGTTACTCTTTTACTGAATTGTTTGACAGTGACCACAAAATCCACCCCATACCAGAATCTATTGGCGCTGCCGAATCCTCGCAGCATTTCAGCTTCTATTTATCGAATTTATGTACATTGATGGCTGTTAATTATCTAACCGCCCAAATAGTAATGGCCTCTCTTCTCACGGGGAATAGGCTGATTAGCCGTAATAATCTCCTCAAACCGGCGACAAATGCGATCATAATTCTGGCCATATCGGCCAAGCTCTCGTAACCGGATCGACACCCAGTCTTGATAGATTTGGTCTGAAGTAGCAATGCCCGCAATAAATAACGGCCAAACGATCCGGATCATAATGCGGGGTCGACTGCGATGTAATTTCAAACTGAGCTCGAGAACTTGGGACACGGCAGTGCTGAGAGGAATGATGCTGTTGTAGTTTTGAATGCTGGGCCAATCATTCTCAAGATCTTGGAAACACAGGTGGAAATATACAATTGTGCCGTAGTATGTGATGGCTGACCAGAAAACCGTTTCCATGACGCGACGATCGCCGGCGACGTCACAGTTGTTAGCTCTTTTGGCTGAGGTGAGGAGTGTGTCGTATTCCTATGTTTGTTAATGAGAAGGAAATTCACAGAGACGAATGAATGGAATGCTCGGGCGCTTACAATAGACAGCGTGTTGATCTCTTTGATAATCCGTTGGTAGGGAGACCCCTCGCCAAAGCTGATATCCGATGTTGAGCTTTGTTTAAACATTTCTGTGATTTTGAATTGAATCACATGGCTGCGGTGATACAGTGTAAGACCTGAAAGGTTCTCCAGATCATCCAACTGAGATGACATCGGATACTCCTCACCCCAGAAGCGGGCAGGGGATTGCCTGCTCAACCTGTACAGATGGGGAAGGCTTAGGGCCGTATTACCGGTCTCAGATCGTAAAAAGAACCTAAAAATATCTGTATCGAGGCGTGCAGTTTCAGATCCAAAGAACAGAGCTGCAGGTGTAAAGAAGTACAGCGTCCATAGGAGGAAGAGAGGTACACAGGTCCCGCCAAGTCCATGCGCAGGACCAAGAGCAGAAAAGCCTGCATTACTTGCAGTATCCTGGAGGCCAGAAATATCTAGCTGGGCCTGGGGTTCCTGCAAGGGACCTTGACCCTTTGCCGTAATGGCAGGTAGACGGGTATGACCTTGTAGCAAAGGCACGATATTATTGTGTAGGAGGGTCTCGATGCCCCGGATATGGATATTAATGGCGGATGCACCACTTCCAAAGCGATTCTCATAATCTATCATCAACCAAAGGGTGATAAATATGGCTTCGATTTGCCGTGGGGATTTCACATCCCGCTTGAGTGCTTCCCTTAGACCCGACAGGGCACGGCCGTAATGCACTCTGCCATCCATGTCTGATTGCTCATTGCTCATAAGCTGGTCATAAGAGTTCTCTGTGTCATAGAGTTTGGACCGATGGATCTCCCTCGCAGCACTAGCTAGCATCATGCTCATGACCATCGGCTCTCTGGTGGCGATTTTATGGTATGCATAAGAGACTGTTGACCAAGGCCAGTGCTTGCCGAGAATCACGACTAATATTGAATCTTGCAGGTAACCCAAGCACTGGCGGTCGAACACTGACAGTGACAGGGAGTTCGCAGCTTGGATGCTACGAGCATGCGTGCCACTTGCTGGGCTGCGAATTGATAGTGATCCGGGGGAAGGTGATGTAACTTGGAGATATGATCGCTTCCTTGCAGGCCGGGACTGGCTCGCGGTGGGGTTTTCATCCCTTCCTGGAACTTCTCTTGGAGAGGAGAGATCTGTCGAGCCACGATGTGATCTCCGCGGTATCGGACCGCCCTTCCACTCACATAGGATACGGGCTGCCAAGCATCGCCGACACTGTGGCTCCTCGTGCCCTTGGGATTGCAGTTTTTCTTCGTCGCACTTGACCTTACGGATCCGGCAAGTTCGGCACCCTTAATTAGCTGTTAACCGGTGCTGCAAGGGAGAGGGTCTGTGGATCCTTGCCTGTCCGGGAACGGGTCTTCCCCGGTTTATGCATTGTCGATAGGACCAGCCTTCGCGAAAATCCGGTCCATGTACTGTTCCATTCGTCTCGGCTGGCTATGCCAGGGATTCCAGAAGTACTATAAAGTGTTATACAGTCACACGCGACGGTCGCGTAAGAAAGAGCAGATATGAAGAGGGGAAGAGGAAGAGGGGGAAGAACAGAAGGAATGTTATCAGGCTCCACCCAAGCCGAGCTCTCGATGCCGATTGGCTGCGTCGGCTGTTCCTCGGTGGATCCCGATGCCGAGAGCTTACCCAGATCTTACCCTGTGATTGGCTCGACTATATGCCGTTGCATCGCCTATTCCCCTGTTCTGGCACGACTTAAAACGGACGAGATGGTTCAAACTTCTTATTCTCAACAATCCTGCGTAATTTGATTCTCAGCAAGATGAATTTCCCCGAATCTCAGGGCCGCTTTTTGAAAAGCGTGCAAGATGCGCTCCAGCGCTATGATTCACAACTCAATGACATCAACCACAAGGTAAGGGACGAATGATTCCAGCCTATAGGAGACATGAAGCTAATGCAACTCAGATCTGGTCAAATCCGGAGCTTGCATATGCAGAATTTGATGCCCATGATCATATCTGCGCGCTCTTTGAAAGCCTCAAATCCGAAGGGTATTCAGTCCGCAGAAAGGCGTATGAACTAGAGACTGCGCTCGAGGTTGAATACACCTATGGCAGCGGAGGCCGAGTTGTGGCTTTTAACGCCGAATATGACGCTCTTCCTGGGATTGGTCACGCGTGTGGCCACAACCTCATTGCGACAAGCTCAATCGCGGCATTCATTGCCACCTGCGAGGCCATGAAGGCTCAAGCTGAATCATCGTCAGTATCGGGATTCACCGTGCGCCTGCTAGGTACTCCCGCTGAGGAGTCGGGTGGTGGCAAAGTGCGTCTTATTAACAAGGGAGCATACAAGGGCATTGATGCTTGTCTTATGGTCCACCCCGTACCGATGGTACCTGGAAAGCCAGAGTTGATGAGCATGGCAACTACTCTCGAAGGAGGATTCCTGGCCAATGACAAAGTCAAAGTAACTTTTACGGGCAAGCCTGCCCATGCCGCGGCGGCTCCGTGGGAAGGAATCAATGCACTGGATGCTGTGGTGGCGGCATATGTCAACATTTCTCTTCTCCGACAGCAGATTCTACCAACCCAGAAAATTCATGGAGTCATTGTGAATGGAGGAGAACGGCCCAACATTATTCCTATGTCTGCGAAAGTCGACTATTATATTCGCTCTCCCACCAAGAAGACACTAAAGCCACTAACTGAAAAGGTGCTGAAATGCTTTGAGGCTGCTGCGACTGCTACTGGGTGCAAGGTCGAATTTGAATGGTATGTTCCATCCATATTCATCTTCAAATACTGCATGACTTACTTTAATACATGAATAGGGGCCCTTCATATGACGATCTGAAGAGCAACTGGCCAATCTGCGAAAGTTATACCTCGGCAATGCGAGCGATGGGGTATCATACCCTGCTTGACAACTCAGGAGAAAAGAGCGCCCTTGCCGGAGCATCTACAGATATGGGTATGCATGTACCAGATTCACCTCCAGAAACCCAGCTAAAACTTGTTTAGGAAATGTTTCTTACGTCGTTCCTGGATTCCACGGGCTTTTCGCCATTCCTGTTGATGGCGTTAACCATACGCCAGAGTTTACTAGCGGCGCTGGATCCCCTGAGAGTTTCAAACGTGCCATTGGCTGTGCAGCAGGTATGGCTATGGTTGCTTGTCAAGTCTTGGTTGATGATAAGTTTGCCGAGGATGTCAAGAAGAACTTTGAGGAAGATAGATAAAGTGTGATCAAACTAGCAAATCAAATAATGCAGCACGGCAATCAAGATAGCTATTATAACTTGAAAATGGTCTGTTATCTGTTGAAGAGTCCCAGTCGAAGGCCTCGGCCTCCACCTATCAGTGTTTAATCATGTCACGAGCAACCCAGCTCGCTTTTCAACACTATAAAGACGACCCACTTGTCTTATCCGGGGAAAATAACCTAAAGTAAACGCCAGGCCAATCAGAGCCTCTCGCCGTGGTTGAAGGCTGCATCTGTACTTTCTAGTATCTTTGCCACAAATCCCATTCCGCCAAGTATTTACTAGCCTTGCCGACACAGCCAATGAGTACATAGCCCAAGATAGCTCCCGGTCTTGTATTATCTAGGCTTCTCATATTGCGGGGATAAGTCTATCTTTATACCACAACAGAGTCAAGGTCAAAATCTCATATAAATAAGATGGCCAATATGACCTTCTTCTGTCTCGTTCTCACATTTCCATTTTCCTTCGATACTCATTCTCATGATGTCGACTTTATCAAACAAGAAAGAAGTAATCCAAGCTGATAACGAGATTGATAAACAAAGCCTTGATAATGGAGCACTTGAATCTTCATTTCAATTCTCCGCTGCTGCAGAGAAGAAGTTGGTTCGGAAGATTGATTTGATGTAAGTGTATCTTGGAAAATATCTTCCAACTCGAAGTCTAATGAGGAACTTTCCCTCTAGGATTCTCCCAATCATGGTCTTTGCATATATGCTTGCCTTTCTTGATAAACAAGCCTTGGGCTACACGGCGCTCATGGGGATTCGGGAGGATCTGCATCTTGTAGGTTCTCAATATAACTGGTCGTCAAGCATATTCTATTTCGGATACTTGTTTTTCTCGTGAGTAGTCCTGAGCTTAGAAAAGCCTTCCGCCATCCTACTTACCAAGGATCAGATATCCCGCATCTCTTTTGATGGTCAAATTCCCGCTAGGAAAATATCTTGCTACCAGTTTGTACGTTACACGATGCTTCCCCGTTTCGTCGATTCCGTTTCTGACATGATTGAAGCATGCTTTGGGCCATCGTTCTGGCTTGCCATGCTGCATGCACCAACTTCAAGGGTATTATGATAGCCCGGTTCTTCCTTGGATGTACAGAAGCCAGCCTCTCACCAGGTTTCACTCTGATCACATCGCTGTGGTATCGAACATCCGAGCAGCCACTTCGTCATGGTATTTGGTTTTGTGGAAATTCGATTTCTCTCGTGTTTGGCAACTTGATTGCCGTAGGCATCCTACAAATTAAAAGTGCCCTCGAGGCATGGCAGGTAAAATAGTGAAACAACTCAAAGCCAAGATTGTACGCTTACCCCGTTATCTAGTGGCTGTTTATCATATTCGGACTCGTAACATTTCTCTGGGGAATCGTGATGTTATTCCGTCTCCCCGATTCCCCGACTACCGCTAGCTTCCTCACGGATGAAGAAAAGCTTATTGCAGTGGAACGCCTGAAAGCTAACCAAACAGGCTACAAGACCACAAATATCGATGGCTCTCAAATGTGGGAGGCATTTATCGATCCGAAGACTTGGCTTCTTGCGGTCTTGATATTAGCTTCCAACATTCCAAATGGCGGATTTACAACTGTAAGCTAACTGTTTAAATGTTGGAAATCCATGCACTAACAACTGTCAGTTCAACGGATTGGTATTGAAAGGTTTTGGCTTTTCAACTTTCCATACCCTCTTGCTTGGTATTCCAGGCGGTGTGATCGTGTTTATCTTTGTGCTTTCATCGTAGGTTTCTCTCGGATATCACTGACAACAATGCTAATAGATTTCTTATAGCGGAATCATCTCTTCGAAGGTTCCTAAGACCCGTTGTCTTGTGATGGTTGGATGCAATATCATCAGGTAAAAATATTCGTGAATAGTTGTTGATTATCCCGTCGCGGAAATAAACTAACGCATTGAGCAGCATTATTGGTAGCGCTCTCGTCTATGCGACCACACCAGTTGGTTCTCGATATGCAGGTCTCCTCCTCATGGGAATATACTCTGCAGCAATGCCTGTCTCAATGGCGATGATTAGCTCCAACATTGCAGGATTCACTAAGAAGGCTACCGTCAGTGCTATTTATTTCATCATGTACTGCACCGGCAACATCGTTGGCCCGCAGTTATTCTTTGAGAAAGAGGCACCAAAATATCAGGTATCGTTGCAAGACTCTAGTTTTCTTCTTCTTATCTAACATAAATTTAGAGTGGCTTCCTTGCAATCATCATATGCTTGGTGATCTGCGTGCTCGATTGCTTACTTCTCTTGTTCTATCTTAGATGGACAAATAGCCAACGTGATAAGAAGTTAGTGGTGGAAGCGGAATCTCAACCGCAAGAGAAAAATGCGCAGCCTGGAGCTCAGTTGCTGGACACTACAGACTTGAAGAACCAGAGTTTCCGATACGTTTATTAGAGATATTCATTTTACCAACTAGATATCTCAGGCCAAGGAACCCTGCCTTTGTATATGCTTGTCCGTCATTGGTTAAAGTCAATTTTCTTTTATAAATTCTCGATGTGTTCTGGGATCTTGATGCTATTTATATTCGCTGTCATTGCGATCACCAGAAACTGTCTGTTAAGACCTATTCGTTCTCTTGAAGAGTCTACTTCTCACATTACACTTTCTTTCATTGAAACACCTGACCGCTGCTTCAATGTTTCATATACATAGCTGGGATAGAGGTAATTCAATACGAACAATAATCTAGAAACTACATACTACAATACAGTTCGTGGAATGGGACGTGATATTCGGCAACCAAATTCTTGTTATACGGCAACCAGTGCAATAGTATTACCAGTCCCCCTTCGCATCATTATTATTAAATAATTCACCGGTCCCCTCCGGGGCAAACATCTTGTCTAACCGGGTGTCCGGATCGGAGGGGACCCCGCCTACGGCACACCTTCCTCTCGGCCGGTCTTAGGCTCACTCAATCTTTGATATTAGGAATGAAATACTTAGCAAAAAATAATTACACATCTCAGTTAGGTTTAGCTGGTTGCCGCATAATACGTTCGGTTGCCCCTCCACTCAACATTCTGTAGTGTTTTGTGGTATTTTCAATTGTGTAGAGCTTTTACGATCACCAAGAGAACCGGGTGTTGACTGCCAAGATGGTATATATCTCTGATGATTTTTCACTTTGTCTTTTCCAACGTCGGCTATATCTTCTTATGAATATGCCCTTTTCAAACTTCTCCATAAAAGCTGAGTAGGCCCACTCACGTGATATCGGCAATGCCTATATCGCAACATGTCCTTCATTCCCACATCTGCACATACAAAATGGAGTCACTGCCACCAGAATTGATCTCCCGAGTGGTGGACTACATTATTTCCGATAGAGATGCAGGAAGACATCCTCGTATTTCCCTGGCCCCATATGCCACTCTGGACCGTCGCTGGCAGGCCATCATTGAAAGACAGACGTTTTCGGATATCTGCATCAATACCACTAAGCGATTGGAAGAGTTTCAACGGCTAGTATCTACCACACACAGAAGAGCTTCTATCCGAATAATTGCGTTGCGCGTGGAGCTAGAGTCATACGATGTAAAAGCGCGCGCCCGATTCGAGACAGACGAGGAACGCCAACGAAACAACAAGATCTTCACTACGACTATCAGCACTCTTTTTAGAACCCTCTCAGGCTGGTCAGATATTGCTGGAATACATCTGGGCATCAGGGCACAGTCCCCTAGCGACTATCTCGCTCTTAAGAGCAATGGAGAGATAAAGCAACGACTACGAGAGGCCAAATCACGAGTGAACGATCTTCTTAGTCAGAGATATGAGAGATCTTACCTTGAGTTCTCCAGAACAACCACTGATTCCGAGTGCCCGCCTGTCTTTGCGATAGCCTCTCTCTCAATCCAAGGGCTCGCAAAAGAGCGGCTAATCGAGCCCGCGTCGAGTGTGCTTATTGCGTCAAAGCTGCCGCGGTTAAACTGCGTGCGGCTGTGTATGAAGGATGATTGCAAGCGAGACGAGCAATTGAGAGAACGTCTTCGTAATGGTAAGCTAGATTCTATCAAGATGCTACATAATATGGTCAACAAACCTCTTTTTTAGATTTTGCTCATAATCTTCACTTGTTTCCTGCTAGTGTACGGTACCTAAGTCTACAATTCCACTATTTGCCTCCTAGGGATGAGAACTACCCTCCTCCTGATGTGACGGTGGATGGAATAGACCTTTTAAGCTCGCACTTGCGGAATTTTTCTCAGCAACTAGAGAGTCTCCATACTAACCAATGTGTGGTTGGCCCAGAATTGTTTTCGCCGTTCAGTCCGCAGGACGACGATACCAACCTGCCATTCTGGCCGAATCTGATTGATGTTATTGTGGAGTATCCGCAAGTAACACCGTCTGGAGAGTGGCTCTGTCAAAGGGAGCCAGAGGAGGCTGTGGATGATGACACGGACGATTCTTACGACTATTTCCTAGAGAATGAGAACGCCTATCCCGAATACGTGCGGATTCCTCTCGAGGATCGCAAGAGGAACTATTTCCGAACAAGGATCATTGCGGGTTCTGTCGATAGATTTTACCTTTCGGCTGGTCGGGCGGCCCTCCGAATGCCTAAGTTGAGAGAGATGAGGCTCGTGAATACTTCCCGCCCGGAGTACTCATTCGAGTATAAAGTGCAAGCGGGAAGGGCGAAGCTCATCTGGAGCAATGAAGACATGTCCGACCCAAGTGAAACCGACGCTTCGGCAAGATTAGAAAAGGCTAAGCGCATATATCAGCCGGATGAGCAGGTCTTCCAGATTTGGAGAAAAGTTGCCCTTCAACACACTGGAAGTGAACTCGAGGTTGAATTTACAGAGTGGGGAACATGGAGAATGTGTATAAATTGATACATGCCACCCAAGCCCATAAATTAAGATGATACACCGAGACAGTAGGCTTCACCCAGCCAGAAGCTGTTTGCGGGGGAAGAATGTCAGCGTTCGGAACCGATAGTAAGAAATTAACAAGACTCACTTCGCAGGCACTATAGAGTCTAGTCCCATGCGTCTATCGCGGTCGAGTTTGTTAAAAAAGTACGAAATGTGACAAAGAAAGCAAGCCTTGGACGATACCCGATCGGGTATGTGGCTAACCCTAATCATGGATCTGTAATTAATGATTTAATTACATACATTAAATTACCTAGATACACCTCTTACATTGCATACTAGATACAGATTTACATATGTATGGCTACTCGTACATACCTACCTAGGTATATCATCAATATCTCTGGGCCAAGTGACCCTTGATGACTTGGAGGACTACTGCGATCAGAGAGCAGAGACTGCTTGAGGGGAGGTCTTTGAGCCTAGGAGAAATTCCCGGTTTCAATAGCTTTTGCATGAGATGAAAGTTACAATATTCAGATTCACAGAAATTCAAGTATGAGACGTGGCATACAATCAACATCTTACAAATGAAACTTGCCTTTGCCGCTTTTGTTAGATAGACAGACATGACGAGTAAGAGTTTCAGTCCTTTCCATACATAAAAGCTAGCTCACTCCATCAAAGCGATGAGTTGCCTGCGGGTTTTCCAGCCTGAGGGTAGAAACGACTACTGCCAGCCACATTCTCACGGCGACGGGTATCCGGATCTTTATCTACCCTCTGGTCAGGTTTGTCGGCCTTAGGGTCGTAAGTCCCCGCAGGCTTTCCAGCTTGAGGCATAAAAGTAGTGCTGGCAGCAACCTTCTCGCGATCCTGATTCGAATCTAATCTGGAGTCAATCTTGTTGACTATATTGCTATTGTGAGGACCGGCGGTGCCCCCGCAAGCACCACCGTCGCCATGGTTGTATGTTGATCCAGGATGGGAACCTGGGGCGTCTTTGTTATCTAAATATTTGATTAGATTTTCTGATTGCATACATTAATTGGAGAAGCAGAACAGTAAACTCTACCTCTGCCGCTGTCAGACATGGTAAACTGTGGTGACTGGTAGTGTGATTTTTGTTCATCCTTCTATAATATGGGCAACATGATATATATATGTCTTGGAGGTCATTCGCCTATGGCGTAGGAGTGACGTCAACGGAGTCAAAGGGTGATCGCATTAAGGTCCAGCAAACTTGAGTAGCAGATATACCACGCTCGTAAACTAGTAGCCGTGACCTTGGGACTAAGTTCATTAATTGTGAATAAACTTGTTCCTTGTTGTTTGTTTCAAGTTCCGAACTATGAATGTCACTGACTTCTATCTGGTCTACAACGGCGTATCAATGTTATAAATACTAAGGTATTCGCCTCGGAAGATCGTTGCGAAACGTCACCGACGAGTGTTTAAAGCAATAAGTGGAATTTGTCACTGAGCTGGTAGCCTCAAATCAGTTGCTGATATTAACGACTAGATATGCCCTATTAGCAGGTATTCTTGTGTTTAGTCCACGGGTCAACTGGTGATGACATGAATGACCTTACAATGACGCAACATCTTACTTTCAGCCAAATCACTGGCGAGTTCAGGGGCACAACAATTCTTAGTACCTTGCTGAGATTTCCAGGTCTGACTGCATTAAAAGAAAATCCGGTAACGCTTCTATGGTACATGAGAACGTTTATTATTCACGTTGTGGGGTATTAGTGGCCCAATTCAGCTTGATATTAGAAGAAACTGATCGATCCCTCATCGGACATTTAACTAATCTCTGCGAGACCCTTAGCTTCAAATTCCGTATAATACCAAGTAAAGAGTACCTTGTGCTCCTGCTCTTGCTCCTTTCCTTCCGTGTAGTTTGACCTTCTGATTGAAAATGGCTGTTAGTCGCCTTGTTTATCGGTCAAACATCTACGCCTTAATTGGCTCTCGCCACCCCCACCTTAGGACCGATCATGAAGAATGTCTCCGGATAGTTTAACGTGGCCATGTGGGCGTCGATTGATACAGCGGAGCCCCGAAGCAGATTCCACAGTCTCTCGGGGTACCCGAAACCGATACAAGTTTCATAACCAAACTCCGAAGCATGTCACCAGGACTTTCGCCGGATTTAACGGCGCCATTCATATGACACCAATTAGGGCCGAAAAATTTCGGCCCCGACGAAAGGCAAAACCGAAATCCAATGAAAACATCAACATGATTGAATTTTAGCCCCTTCACCTCACGCCATATGTGATGGAGTTTATTTGGCCGACAGAGCCACCATCGGACTTAACGGGGATTTCGAGATGCTTGCAATATATAAGAGCCAGCGCTCCATGCTCTTTCCACTATCACTCACACAACCCGATAAACATTATCTTCCTCTCACATTGCACTCGACATCATGGCTACCAAGTACGAAGCGGTTCACCAGACACTCAATGGCCCCGGTGATGCCAGGCCTACAGCTCTTCAGATCATTAGCGACGAACAGCTCAATGGAAAGTGGACCGACAAGACCGTCCTGATCACCGGATGCTCCTCAGGAATTGGCATTGAGACTGCCAAAGCACTTTACGAAACCGGTGCCACAGTCTACGCCACTGCACGGGACCTGAACAAAGCCAAGTCAGCCCTCAGCTCAATCCTTGATAGTGGCCGTGTCCACCTGCTCGAACTCGATCTCGAATCCCTTGCTAGCGTTCGGAAATGTGCGGAGACCTTCCTCGCCAAGTCTGACCGTCTCAACGTCCTGATCACCAATGCCGGCGTTATGGCTACTCCCGAAGGCCGAACTGCTGACGGGTTCGAAACCCAATTTGGCACCAACCACCTCGCCCACTTCCTCTTGATCCAACTACTACTTCCTGTTCTCGAGAAGTCATCGAAGCCGGAGTTCCAGTCACGTGTTGTTGTCCTCACTTCCGTCGCTCACCGTGATGGCGAGGTCAACTTCCCGAACCTTAACTTTGAAGGCGAGTATGATGCATGGGATGCTTACGCTCAGAGTAAGACGGCCAATCTATGGACTTCTAACGAAATCGACCGTCGGTTTGGTCCAAAGGGCGTCCACTCAGTGAGCGTGCATCCTGGTGGTATTATGAGTGGCCTATTGAGGCACTTTTCGGAAGAGCAAAAGCAAAGCTTGGAGGCCGATCCAGGAGTTTCGCAGTTGCTCAAAAGTCCCGAGCAGGGTGCGGCTACCACTGTCTGGGCAGCCACCGCAAAGGTCCACGAAGGTCAAGGAGGTAAGTATCTCGAGGATTGCCAGATCGCGAAGCCTCCTAAGGCCGGCGCTGGTCGGTATGATCCCGGATACTCAGCCTGGGCGTATGACGAAAAGAAGGCTACGCTGCTGTGGGAGAGGTCTTTGGAGCTTGTGAAGCCATTCCTGTCATAAAAAGATCATGAGAAGCACTAGTCTAGAATGATGTCGTTCAATTTTCGGTTGAACACGGCATATTGCAAAATCAACTGTCTGCTTTCGCAGTTTCATTTGTACCCGAGTCGATACATTGCTGAATATAACAAGATATCACTACCTATAATATCGCAACTCAGGAACTTGAGTGAGCTCTGCTTGCTTCAACAGTTCATATTGCGTTTCAGGGTTTTCGGCCTCAGGCTGATCGGCCCACGCTAAGTCTGGAATTTGTTCAATGATATCATGGTGTAACATACTAGAGGCTTGACCCAATAGAAAGAGGGTTCTCGGACATACTATAGGTAAATATCTAAGCAAAACGGCGTGGATCTTTCCAAAGACTTTCGAAGTTTGATCCAGTAAGCTTCGGCCGAAAATTTCGAATTTCGGTTCGGATATTTCGGCGGAAACATAGCCCCTTAATTTTTCACCCGATGATGACCTACGGATATAAGTGATTGGTTATGCCTGGTACAGGCGGTCAGGATAAATGGTATCTATGCATACTGGGAAATCGACGGAGAGACAGAGGATACGAAGGGCCATTGTTAATTGGATTATGGGCGCGTGACCGGCTCCACGCCATTCGTTAGAAATTGTTTGCTGATACAGTATAGCACCACCTGGCCACACATTCCCCCAAACGGAAGCCTCAATGCTCAATCAAACGAAAGATTTTCCCACATCCCGTGGGGGTCTTGTTCAAAGATTAGAGATGGCTGGATCTGATTCAGTTGTTCCAGCCAGTATCCCTGATCAAAGCTGTCTTGTAATCCGTAGAATGGAGGCGTCGGAAGTCCAAGGTCGGGGCTGTGGGTGGGTTGACTAGGATCAAGCAGAGAGCCCCTTGATAAATCGATGGTATAATCGCTCAAATCCCTCATCAGACTTTGTAGTCGAATGGTAGAAGAACCATGTGGAGCAGGGTGTGGCCCAGAAGCGTTATTAGGAGATTTGAAAGCTTCTCTGAGCTTGCTGTAACAACGTTGGACAACACCAAAGCCCGCTTTAGCTATTGGGTTATAATCCCTCATCGTTGAGAGACTATCAATTGACCGACGGAGACTGGTCTCAATGTTTTGCCTAGTTTCGTGATTCTCTGGTGGGTACAGAATAGTGATGACCGAGAGAAGAAAAGAGGCGTCAACCATATAGAATGCGAGGCTAAATAAATGATACTGATATGGTTTTGTTTGTGCGAAGGAGCGCAGCTGGAAGTCGAGCGTGGCAATTGCAGCCTGTAAAGCGGCTTTTCGGCTTTCGGTGCTAGAGATAATATGTGGTCGGTGCAGATTGACGATGAAAATGTTCGCCATGACTTTTAGTTCCTCGCGCAACTGAGGAAGGTAGGGAAGCTCCAAGTCCCATGATGTATCCGGACAGTCGGGGCGAATTGAAGGCAGCAAGCCGTCCATCAACAAGTCGACATCCTCATGAATCTTTCGGACCATAGAATAAACTTTAGGATGAGGGCGATCCAATTTAATGGCTCGCATGTCATGGACCTTACATGCAATTGCATAACGAAATAAAGATGCTGATACTGGTATGATGCCGGGATTTTCGTCGAGCCGCACCGCCATTGGTACTGCCGTGGAAGGGTTCTTGGGTATACTGCATTCCATGGGGGGCTTTGCATCACAATCATCCCTATGTATCATCCGAGGACGGCCAAGGATCATGGCCATGAAACTAATACTGTCAGAAATAAACGGATCGGAAATGTGTTGGCATGCATTACCTATCCCACACAAACAGGTTGATCCATAGGCGTTTCTTGTTTTCTTCATACCAGAAAGAACTCAAAGTCTTACTAATATTAGTTTCATCTGGCTGCCGGATTTCCTTCTGACGGTGTAGTCCAAGTTCCTGGGCTTGCCTTTAAAGTGCGTCAGTTGACTGAGAATTGTGAGCGGATAGAGACAGGAAAGAAATTATGCGAACCTGATGGCATTTCCAAAAGCATGCCAGGCTTCAGTACCTCTACCAACGTTTTTCAGCCACGAGGATCTTAGAAAGTCCGCCTGAACTCCACTCAGAGCAGCCCCAGGCCTGCCTAAAACAGACAGTAGCTCATCGCCTAGGTCGCTGTATGTTTGTGAGGTACCTAGAGCATCTGCGGAGAACTGGGCCATATCTAGATGGTCTGGTGGTAGAAATTGCAATGTCAAGGAGACAACCTGGAAAAGTAGAGCCGAAAAGTAACGTAGCTCTCGTGAGAGTTCTTCGGGCCTGAGGTAGCTCACGGGTTCTAGTTCTTCGCTGTGTGGCCATCGTGAAAACAAATCATCGAAGTAATATCTTTCGAGAATGAAGTAATGCCAGTTTACCTCAGCGAAAAACACGTTAACAAGCGTCTGAAGGACTGGCCTCGGCGGTAGTTTTGAAACCAGTGTTTGAGTATTTTTTCGTGCAACACGGGAGTTGAAAGCGGAACTTTGAACAGCATTCATCTTTTCAAACTCGTCATTACCAAGAATCTAGTTTTTGTTAGCCTAGTTGTTGCTGGAATGCTGTGACGGTGTACGACCTGTTGCAAACCCACGAAGGCATTGCTGCCAGGAACAGATGAATATCCGAGGCTACCAGAGTCCAGCTGAGAGCTCTCCCGGTCATCTTGTATCGGTGATTGCCCCTGGCCCACATCATTCGTTGACGTACTGGGTTGCTGAATGCAGGCCTCAGGCCGCGACACACTTGGGATAATTGTTAGGACCGTGATGAAGGATCTGGCGACCGAAAGAGACAGCCGGAGATAGAGACCACAGTAACTCACGTTGAGGTATTGAAAGTACATTTCCCAGGGACATTTCTCGCTGAGCAATTATTGCATGGGTGTTTACGGTCACACTAAATAGGCGTCAGATAATCAAGACACTGTAAGGAGCATTGGAGAACTGACCTTTTGCTTCCTACGGTAACATTCCGAGCAAGATTCTACCACCCGCTTGCGCTTTAGTGACGGGCTACCAGCAGTAGGCATAATTGTTGCTAGTTACTGGATACTGGACAGGTTCATGGATGTCGTCGACCGAAATGACGCCAAGAAAACGGGTGAGATTACATAATAATACACAGTCCGCACGCTCCCGTTCAGCACTGTAACATTTTCCGAAAAGTTGCTATGATCCTCGAAGCTGTCAAATTGGCCTGTGAAACCTCTTACGTCCAGGCCACCATCACTCCTTGCTCATGCGATACCCTTGCAAGCTCAATTACCCGCAGTACGTCCCTTGATTCTGTCGCCTTTACAGTCAGTTCGGCTTTCGCATGAATAGCATCCAAGGTTTTCATAGAGACCCAACCATCTCCCTGTAGTCGTGAGGTACTTATCAACAAAAATTTTCGTTTGCGGAGCCAATTTTTGCACTATATTATCGAACTCCTCGTATGTGGTAAGTAGACTTCGGAGATGCACCAGCTCTGCCCCGAACATAGGATCGAGAGGTTTTGCCTGCCGCGATAGGTTCCTCCTGGGGGCAATCACTTCCTTCCTGAAATTTCATGCGTTGATCACACCGTCGCCATCGTTGTATTTGTGGATATCTCCCCTACATCTGCGACATAGAAGAAGTGAACCCGCGGAAAGGTATGATAAATAGATACCAGAGACCGCCATGGAAAGGATGTCGTTGAGTGCGACGCTAGAGCAGATGTTGATCAGCCCTAGCAGCCAGGCAACTGTCGTTGTGAGAAGGATTGAGTATAGAGGTAGATGCTTGGAGGGCGTGATCTTGGCAATATCTTAGTATGATAACCCTAGGAGCAATGTTGTTGGACAAAACTTACCGGAGTCCATAGTCGCCAACCTGGCACTCCGCGATCTCTTGCAAAAGACCAGAACTGGCGTGATGTCGCAGCCAGCATACCGATAACGGAGTACACACCAAGAATCGAGACAATGGAGCACATAGTCAGAGCGCCAGGCATTGATCCTGTAGCTTTGTAAAAGATCTCGATACACGGGAAGCCAGTACACGATGTATGTGTCTTTACAGAAAATCAATTAAATCGAGCTGCGTATCTGCGAGGCTCCGAAGGTAACCTTGGCAAATAATAAGCTCCTCCGGTCGTGTTGGGCTGGGAAGATCCCAGAAAAGCGGTCATCCAACATGGAACGGGAACGGCGATCATGATCGACGGTGGGGCGTTGTCTTGCTTGTAGTGCTAGTCTTGCATTGTTGCATATACTTACTTACATGTACCCGCATCTCTCAGAGTCCAGGGTGAAAGGCATCGAATCCTGGTATTTCGTTCGTTTAGTCCTGGGATTATTTACATGCCTTTTTGGTAGTCGGGCTCATTTTAGTTTCTTGTCTAACTAATACCAATCAATATATTCGGCCCCTTGCTTGGACAGCTGTGGGGAAAAAACGCAGTGTCAATCTCTGCATGTCTGGGCGACAAAAAGAAACGAAAAAAGCAATCAAAATGATATCAACTATATAGCAGGTAAGAACCCCTCCACAACAGCTGCCCATTTCCCTGGGAAGTGTGAGCCCTCAGATCCATCCCATCCCCCTGCTAGCATGGCAGCAGCCAGAAGCAAGCCACCCGAGCTTGGGAAATAAGGCGTAGGGACATTTGACCCCCCAATCGGATATCCTGCATCATCGAATTGAAAATTTTCGTGCATGAGATACGCGATCGCTTGGTCCGTATCACCGAGTCTCAAGGAATTCATAGCCAACAAGGGAAAATCCCAGCCCCACGCACTTGAGAACTGCCATTTGTCCTTCATCACCTCGGCCGTCTTTCGGACGACATTCATATCAAGTGGCGGACCACTGGATAGCTGTGGCAGCCACCCGTATATTCCTGCCATAGCCGGATGGCTCTGGATTGTGCTGTTCTCAATCCACATATCTGAAATTCCTTCGTACGTCGAGAAAGTCCCATTAACCGTCGCCAATGGGGCAAGCTTGTCCAGCACCTCTTGCCATTCCCTTGGAACGGGCTTCCCTTGTCGCTGCTTCCAGCGACTGGCGACATCAAGACCAAATCTCCAATATGCAATTTCGAAAGTGGGATTTATTGTTGCATTTGGGTTGGTCGTTTCGGAAACAGTATACATTGGGGGACCGAGATCGTAGACCCCTGTCGTCTTATTAAACCACGCATATGATGCCATAAAATCTGCAGTTGCGGTGATTATCTCATCCCATTTGATCAAGTTATCATGCTCGCTTGTAGGAAATGCTCGGAATTCCGTCTCGGCGAAATACATTGGGTGTGGTTGCTGCCAGATGAGAAGTGAGTTGATTTCTCCTGGTGCGCTGCGTCCCGTGGGGTCCGACATCTTTCCCCATCGTGCGCCTCTGTAGCCTTGATTTGATGCTCGTTCATAGGAGGCTGGCAGAAACTTTCGATACATGCTCGGCTGGCTGCGCTGGAATAAATCGAAGTGGTTCCAGCGAGCGAAATGTGCGGTATGCCAGAAGCACATCTCCAGCTGGGATAAAATTAGTCAAGGCTTATTATCTGGGACAACTGTTACGTCTACTTGCATGAAACTTGCCGTACCAGCCATTATTCACAAGGCCTTTTATACGCGTCAGCTTACTCTCTGATGAATATTTCATAAGTAATGTGGTTCTCACCGGATTCTAAATTATCGTCAATTAGTTTAACCAATATCATGTGTTTGGGACACTCATACCTTGTGGCTCATGATCAGATGCAGAGTTTACTGCTAAGAGATATTGAGACAATATGATTCGACGCTGTAACTCAATTGCGTTTGGTTCGCCCGTGGCTGAAATATCCACGAACGCCCCGGAAGTCCAATAGGAATTCCACCACCTTGCAGCAGATCCTTCAACTTCGGAAGTAGTTTTCACACTGTGTGCTGTTTTCTCAGTTGTGAACAAGGCGCTGAGATGTAGTGTCTTCGAACCGGGTAGTCTTTTCAAAATATATTTGTTCGACTCGGGAAATGGTCCTGAAATCTTGCAAGGCCCATCCCATTTGGCATGAAGATAATGGATGTTATTGTCAAGTTTTTGGCGGATCGTCGCACCCTCTTGAGAATTCTGGAGAGTCGTTGTGGACTGGGTATTATTCCAGACCCCAACGAAGGGAGCATCAAACTTGTTCAAGTCAGGATAGGGAAAATCGAAGAATATACCCAGCTTGCCCTCCGATAGGAGGTCCGATTCGACTGTTATCGCAATAACATCTCGGTCTGGGTCGACTGTTGTCATGACATCGACGCGAGATCCACCTAGAACGAAAGAGGACAGAAGTTTTCCAGACCAAATGTCTAGTAGCTGTGTTTTGTTCTTTAGGTTCTCTTCTTGAATGGATTCATTTCCAAAGTGAAACCCAATGCGACCCAAATTAAGGCGGTTGGGGTTAGCAATGAGCCATTGGCTAATATCGCTTTCGGCTGAGTTTGGCATATTATAGTCGACAAGCCTTCCGTGAGTCCACCATTTGAGCCCAGTAAAGTCTGAGAAGTAGTAAAAGTTAGCTAAGGTGTTGTTTCCTCTATCCATGGTCGTTTAAGCTTGCCGCTGATGTTGGTCTGCCCAGCGGTTGTAGGCAGGCTCGCATTATGCCATCCCCAGGAGGACATAATGCCATAAGGCCTGAATGTTTGGAGGCCTGTTATATCTGCACCAAACGCGAAGTTGCCATTACCAACCTGCAAGGGTGTCTCTTCGGAACTTTCATTGCGTCTCACGTTGAAGGTTCGAACGATCCTCTCCCGGTCTATCACCGCTTCCCCTAGGTGGAAACACGAGCCAGTTAGTGCTAGGAAAAGTATTAGACGCATTATATATCTTTGAACTGTGAGTTCAGGTTTCCAAAAACCAGGGAAAGGAAATGTAAACAAACTGTAACAGTGCCGCTGGTTCGTATGGTGGAGATAGAAGCCTTAATAAATGCTAGTTTGGTGAAATGGACACCGCTGGTTCTGTTCCAATAGTCCAATAGCCGGCTCAATTCATTCTGATGGTTACCCCGCAAAATCGCTCAGTATTCAGGCTATCCAGGGTGTTTGTTAGGGTTGCGGGGCATTATCTCCCGAAATCCCGAGAACGTTCACACTGATTATTTACATTTAATACCATTTACTACTTCCTTGAACATACTTCGACGGTCCAATATCCGCCCTCTCGCTTTCTCGAGGATTGTGATCGGCAAGTTAACATGGAATTTGCTCCCTGTAGAAGAACGATACTTCATTGCCAAGTCGGCCGTCGCGCAGCGGAAACTATCCTGGGGTTCCTCGAATGCTGACGTTTCTTTCTCGGTTGGTTACTGCAACAGGGTGCGTAGCGCCCATTGCTGTCGTGGGCGACCTGCCACCGGACTACCCTTGAGAAGCAACGTCTTACGGTCCTGCAGTGGTTTGACTCTCCGCGCATAGTTTCGAATGATGTGTCGAAGGTCGCCCGTCATGCCAAGGTAGGTGTCAAGTTGCTGTAAAGTGCTTGGGAACTTCAGCTCCGCGATTGCTTGCAGCTTTTCCTTCGGGGTGGAGAGGCCGAACGCGTCAACGTAGTGGCCGAGAAGCGCGACCTTAGGGAAACCGACGAAAGCCTTTGCTGGACCGAGTCGTATGCCATATTGCTCTAGCCTGCAGAGTAACAGCTCTAGGTGTTGGAGGTGCTCGCATAGTGAGGAGGAGGCGACCACGACATCGTCGGTATACGTCTTGCAAGAACCAGATGTACTCCGATTCGGAGAAATTAGGGAGATCAGCTGGAGAGGTAGACAGAGTGATCGCAATTGCTGACCAGAAAGTCATTATTATTACCTGCTTTTATAACCGACGATGGGTATAATAATCGATACCTCATTGAAGTCTCAGTCACAAACTCACAACTTTTTCGTGCTCTAGGACTGTGACTTCCAGATTTTGAGAAAGCTCAAGGAAGCCGACACTCATTACGACTTTGAGTCCCCTGCTTGGCTAGCTGGGATGATAGAAAAGGAGTACACACCGGGTACTGGAATGGCTTTTGCCTTAGGTGACAATACCCAAATTCCTTTGCTTGACAAATGCTCAGACACCCATTTTATAGGAACACACAGCATCGACTAGGCTCTGGTCTTATTCGGATGTCCCTCTGTTACAGGCTGCTTCCGTGCGCAGCGCGGTATTGATAGTGAAGTTGAGGACTCCTTACTGCAGTAGAATGGTACAAAAAAAGATCTACTCGGTACGTCAAAACATCGGTGACAACTCCAATGGCACAGAAACTAAAACTCCTGGTGCGAGGTACAAGTTGATCCGGCGCCCTTTCCATCTCCCTGGCATTTTGGGCGGACTCATTAGCACATATGCTGTCATTTATATCACGATAGTTGTGTTCTTCAGTTTTGGGCCGACGCAGATGAACCCCACTGTCACGACGATGAATTAAAGTGTTGTTGGCACGTTTGGGACTGTTATTTTGGCTGTTATATACTATGTTCTGCGAGCTAGGAAAGTTTATAGTGGACCTATTGTGGAGGTCGGTTTGTGAGGGTTGGTTTGTGAGGATTTTTGTATTCTTTTGAAATTAGCCTTGTATATCAGGTTGCATTTTGAAATGGCAGAAGCTTTTCAGCCGTTTTTATAACCTAGTTACTCTCTTTCATCAAACCTTCTGTGTAGACAAGACAGGATGTATAAACAAAATGCAATCATTAGCCAAAGCTTACAGCATGATCATGTCTTGTGGCACGGTTTGAATATTAGATAAAAATGGCATGTTGACTGGCATCGAACCGACCCGGGGGTCCGGGTATGCAGCATGAGGTAATTCGTGGGGCAATGAGGGGCAGCTACAGCTACTTCAAAATCGAAAGTGAATTCCAAACAGCTCTGAAATCCAAATCTTTTCAAATATCTCACTATGCCCCGACCAACTACGCGCGAGGAAGTCCTCTCCCGACTTCGCAAGACCATCGACGATGGCTCTATCGTCGTTGGAGCTGGTGCAGGTAGGTACCCCACCAGGTAACTCAATTCGAGAGCTCAAGCCAACAACAAAACCCACAGGTATTGGCCTCTCAGCCAAAGCCGTCGAACAAGGCGGCTGCGATCTAATCCTGATCTACAACTCGGGACGATTCCGCATGGCAGGACGCGGGTCGTTAGCCGGCCTGATGCCGTACTCCGATGCGAACAAAGTCGTCGTCGAGATGGTACGTTCCGACCAGCCCAACCGCCTTATATGAGTCTACAGCTTACAACAAACATTCCAGGCCAGTGAAGTCCTCCCCGTAGTGGAGCACACGCCCGTCCTCGCCGGCGTCTGTGGCACCGACCCCTTCCGCTCGATGCCCCAATTCCTCACCGAACTACAGCGCCTCGGCTTCGTCGGCGTACAGAACTTCCCGACTGTGGGCCTGATCGATGGCCAATTCCGGTTGAATTTGGAGGAGACGGGTATGGGCTATGACAAGGAGGTGGAGATGATCGCGACCGCCCACCAACTAGGCCTCGTCACCACGCCGTATGTGTTCAACGCGGAGGATGCGGTCAAGATGGCGCGCGCGGGTGCGGATGTGGTGGTTGCCCATGCTGGATTGACTACGTCTGGTGCTATTGGTGCGCTGAGCGGGCGCTCACTGGAAGATTGTGTGGGGTTTGTGCAGGAGATTCGCGATGCAGCGGTTGGGGTTAATCCCGAAATTCTGGTGTTGTGTCATGGCGGACCCATTGCGCGCCCAGCCGATGCGGAGTTTGTGCTGTCGCGGACCAAGGGGGTGCATGGGTTCTTTGGGGCGAGTAGCATGGAGAGATTGCCAGTGGAGGTTGCCATTAAGGAAAACGCGGAGGAATTCAAGAAACTGCGAGTCGGCCCGAACTAATTACCCGTTGCCCCGGCCAGTCCCAATCGGGCAATTTTCCTCCGCAATTCCCCCACGCATTTCGGCTAAATACATACTCCAAATACAAGAAGGCTCATTGCCCTTCAATTCTTCACTAATTCTTCTTCAATTCCCTTCTTCTCCCATATCCTCAATACAATCTCTTGTACAGTATCAAAATGGCCCGCGTTTTGGAAGGCAAATTCGGCATCGTCACCGGCGGATCACGGGGTAAAAGCCCCTCCCCCGCATAACAAAAAGCCAACTAACACCGTGGCAGGAATTGGCGAAGCCATTGCGCGCAATCTGGCCGCAAAGGGCTGCTCCCTCCTCCTTAATTTCACCTCAGAGTCCTCGCGCGCCCCCACCGAAGCACTCTGCTCCTCCCTAGCCTCAACCCATGGCATCAAGTGCGAGAGTGTACAAGCAGATCTCAGCAAGCCCGCCGAAGCTGTGACACCCATCATCGCAGCCGCACAGCAACACTTTAGCAAGGACGGCAAGCTTCAGATCGACATCCTCGTCAACAATGCAGGTGTCTCCGCAGACCGCAACCTAAACGACGCAACAAGAGGCCCCATCGAGGCCGAGCACTTCAACTGGCAATACGCAATCAACGTACTCGCTCCACTCCTCCTCACACAGGCCTGCAGCCCCTACCTCCCTACCGACCGCAGCGGCCGCATCGTCAACATCTCCAGTGTATCGTCATCCCTTGGATTTGTTGGCCAGTCCATCTACGGTGGCACCAAGGCTGCCCTCGAGGCTATGACTCGCACCTGGGCGCGTGAGCTTGCTGATCGTGCCACTGTCAATGCTGTCAACCCTGGTCCTGTTATCGGTGATATGTACTTCGCGACTGGAGACCAGTTCTGGAAGGATATTCAGGGTTATCAGGATAACACTCCGCTGAGCAAGTTGGATATTAATAATGAGGATACTATGAGTCGCTTGACGGATGAGCAGAAGCGCTTGATTCAGGAGAAGATGGGTGGGCGTCGGCCTGCTTTTACTAGTGAGGTCGCTGGGGTTGTTGGCATGCTTTGCACACCTGACGGTCTTTGGTGTACTGGTAGTGTAGTTTGTGCTAATGGTGGTATGAAGATGGGGCAATAAGCTATCAATATAAAAGACCTTAATTTTTTGCTCCACTTGACTTTATGTAATGTGAATTGTTGCTTCTCGCTGGTATCTAGTTCGTCGTATTTTTGTTTCATGCTGCCGCTCGAACTCCTTCATGCTCTACTCTCTACTTGAATGTATTAACAACAAGGATGTGACGGTAAGTTGGATCCCCTCAATGTCCGGTCTTTGCATGTCAATGTCCTTGGCTGACCGGGTTTACTGCCCGTGCCTCGCGTTAGCCGTGGCTATACCTCCCAATCCAGCGATACAAGGCTGAACCGAATCCGTCCCACATGATCGAGATGCTTTTTTGCTTGTTTGTGATACTTCTTCTATTCAAAGTCAACTATCTCAATTCTTGATATTAATGAATTATTAGAAAGATGCTATCTATGCCTGAATACATATATGCGCGACTTCACAGTTTCCCGAAATGCCAGTTGATACCATCGGAGATCTTACTGAGACACCCTAGGAACGCCACAGCTCACAGTTTCTCCTTCCTATAGTCTATGCTAAGCGGGACTGGCTATGTAGGACTAATCATCGAGCGTAACACCATTTCCCTCTTACTTTACTAAACCATGTTCTAGCGGCTAGAAGATCTGTCCTAAGGCAACTGCTAGGAGGCTTTCATTCAAGATTGGCCGTTGACAATCAACCCTATTTGAAAATGGAGATTTGGCCCATATAAATACGTCCATTCGCTGGCTTCTGGTGTTTCTTATTCTATCCGACGTTTGTCTCTCAATGAGTGGCCCGGCATCTTTTAACCCTAGAAATCAAAATTATTGCGTGTTCGTTTGATGAGGGTCACCGGTTTCATGTCAAAAAATAGTCGCGTTCAGACGGGAGTCAACCAGGGAATTGTCTATACTGGATCGGTTCGGGCTTCCTCTGATACTGAACAAAGTAAACACTAGGAGCTTGTGACTTTCCTATTTTATGTAACTAACGAGATACAACTAGCCAATGAGGATGAAATATCACTCCTATCCATCCAAATCAGGAAAAGTATGGAAACTTTTGAAAATGAGGTTCGCTGACAGTCAACGAAGGTCATGCCCTGGTCTAGATACTACAGTGCCTGCCTAGGTGGACCTGGCATTCACAGACCTGAATTCAAGCTCGACACTCAAGTCCGGCGCAATAACTGGCTCCAAATCAAGTGTCTTGGGTCTTTCGCGTTCTCCACCGGCATAGCGGATATCGTAGCGCGTAATGAGCTCTCCGAGAATAGTCTTGAGAAGCTTAATGGCGTAGAAGCGTCCTGGGCAAGCCTGTCGACCGTGTCCAAAGCTGTTTACATGTTAATATAGGGATATCGGCTGTTCGGGGCTGTAAACTCACGCTAGCCAATCATTCCTGGTATCCGCTATAAGAATGCGTTAGTGGTGATTCATCTATACCACACGAAGAACGGGTTTGTGTTTACTAATATTAGATGCAGTCTCCAATTTCTTCGCTTCTTCTCTCATCCGGTAGAACCGATACCCGTCAAACTTTTCTGCCTCTGGATATAGATCGGAATCATGTTGCATGAACATAGTTGGGAAAGTAATTAGTGTGCCTTTGGGCAACTCGAGGGTCTCATCGAAGCGGAAAGTTTCGCTGGTAACAAGACGCCATCCAGTCACTAGAATATAAGAGCTCAGGTTAACATGAATCGTCACGAAGTAGAGCGCTACAGAACAGCACGCACAAGATACAATGCCTGGAGTAATCCTAAAACACTCCTGAATGAAAGAATCGAACTTCTTCATTTTCGCCATGGCGCTTTCGGTCCATCTGCCATCCTCAGAGACACACTTAGTGATCTCCGCCCTCAGCTCGGGGAGATACTCTTTATGCGAAACTGTATCAAATAGTAAGTTCACCAGTACGGTAGCGGGTGTCCCAATAAGCCCTGCACTCAGATGCAGAAGCCGATGGGCAATCTGTTCTGGAGTCTTCTGCTCGTCGGGTAGTGGCTGATCCATGGCCCACTGTATGCAATCAACCGGTTTCTCTTCTTCAGAAAGATTTGCGTTCGCTCGTTTCCTTTCCTCGATGTGCTCTGTCACATAGCGAGTTGCAATGGCGAGATCACGGCGATGCTTCCAGTGGACCATGTACATAATGTAATCCCTCAGGCGGCCGAGGTTTATCCAACGCAGAATCAAACCGTAGTACATCACCTTAGTGGAATACCGTTCCATGGCTTGGAGGAAGGCTTCGTTTTCACACAAGGTTTCGCCGAAGACGACTCTTCCGGAAGCGTACTTCATAATCTGCATGGCCAAAGTGTGTGCGTGAAGCCTTTTCCATACTTTTCAGAATGTAAGAATAGAGATCAACAATGCTCGGGATCAGAATGTGTTACCTTGCGGGTTTCCTATTTCCTTGTCCAGTATATGCTCAGTCCTCACTTGAATTAACGGCTTGATGTCGGCTGGTGAATAGAAATTAGCAACATGTCCTTCAAAAGTTGTTGGCAATGCTCACATAGATTTCCATTGACAAGTTTGGAAGCAACTTGAATTTCGAAATTATCGAAATGTCCACTGGAGAATTTTGGAACCAGATACTAGGTGCTGTTAATTATCGGTCTCTGAAATCAACCAGCAAGGCTGCCACGGCTGGACTCACCGTATCTACTACAGATCGGAAGCTGAGCTCTGAAAGCCCTTGGTTTTTGATGCGCGCAAGGTATTTCGGTGGCAAGATGTAGACCCAGTTTTGAAACAGACCCATCCAGATCTTGAAAGGCTTGCCATTCTTGCTGTACTGTTCATTTTCTCAACAATGGGCATGGTTCGAAGCAACGTGTTGCTAAAACTTACCTTGTAATAACCTTCACGAGCGTAAGGGAAGAGCCTCGGAAAGAGAAATCTCCAGTAAACTCCGGTTTGAAAAGCATCAACAAATCGAGAACGATGGATTGCTGGTATCTTCTTCAGGCCGTGAGGGTCCCGCGCATTGTACATATACACTCCAGCAAGGAAAAGAGCAAAAATGGTAAACACGGCAAATCTCTGATTGATATTGTCAAGGGAATACTCTATTTTGGACGGCCCTACGTACATTGGTTGTCAGCTAGGTTCGTTGATTGTTGCAGATTCTGGCAGGTTTAATTATCGCAGCGTACCTTGGACCGAGATAGTCGTGGAGTTATCCATGGTATTCGCGGTTGAGTCAAGTTAACTTCTCTCAAAAATATCGTATAGTTCAGTGTCTAAATGATATTCGATGAAAGCACAAGGATCAAATCCTGCACGAATGGTTTTCCGGCAATGTGATTGTCCTCTACATATAGGATGGCGTCTGGAACCCCAGGTTGCACATCACCTTACGCATTCCTCGGAGATCAAGAACATTGTGGATCTGCATAATGCATCCATTTACGAGGATGGCTGTGTTACAGCAGATACGAGGCCCCCTCTTCCACAGGTGAACTAAGCAAGATATAGTACATGCATATACGAGAAATAGGGTTGGCGGTAAGGCATATGGATAACGAATGATGGGAATTATATCGTGAATAGAGTATACCAGATACTTTTACTCGCAGATCATCTTCCCAAGCAACGCCAAAGTCTTGGGTGGTTGCATCGTGGCCATTCTTGGTGTCTGATTGTATATCAAAAAGTTCGCACGTGATTCTTTGTACTTTGATAACAACCACAGCTCTGATGCGTGCAGATCTCACACCTCATACAGGCAATGGTGGCAGTAGGCTGCGGGGCACGGCCTAGCAGATGTAACCTCAAATACAAGCAGTGGCATCGGAGCAGAAACTTGCTTTCAATCCCGGTCGGCAGAATACGAACGCCACAGATCTCTGATCACGCTATGAGTGCAACTTGTATGGAAAGTCGACAAATCAGAACAATCGC